TTATATGGGGCCGATACGAACAAAAGGACCTGCATAGACAATTTTCTGCCACAGGATGTAGTAACCGTTAGGAACTGCAAATACGAGATTTGAAACAATTTCGGGGAATAATGTCGCTTAAATCATCAAAATACCGAATATAGGGAGTTACCGTTATCGGGAGGCTATACGAAGAAATGGACCTGCATACGCAGTTTTTTTGTCACAACAATTTCGATGAATAGTGCCGCTAAAATCATAACAATTAAAAAAGCAGATAAGTTCGGCCGAGCCGAACTTTTAATACCCTCCACCATTTTTAAGGAACTTGAATAATTAAAAAAAATGCGTCGAAAAATGTCACTTAAATTAAAATTGTTATATGGGAGATATACGAAGACGTGAACCTGCATAAGTAATTTTTTTCGTAGGCTGTAGTATCGATTCCTAACTTTTAATACAAAGTTGAAACAATTCCGTTGAATAATGTCGCTAATATCATAAAATTTGAAACATGATGTTGCTATATCATCAAAATACCAGATAAAGGGAGGTAGCGTCATATATGGGCTATACGAAGACGTGGACCTGCATAGTCAATTTTCTGGCATAGGTTGTAGTACTTATTACGAGCTTCAATCTTTAAATACGAAATTAAAAACAATTCAGGTCAAAGATGTGGCTAAAATGATCAATGTACCGAATATAGAGGAGGTATAATTATATGGGGGCTATACGATATCGTGAACCTATATAGACAATTCTTTTCAAGGTGGTAAAATACTCAGAAAGAACTTCTTTTGTGGATTTTCAGACAATTCCATTGACAAATTTGTCTACAATCATCAAAATACCGAATTGAAAAATGTGGCTAAAATCATCATAATACCGAATATAAGGAGGTACCGTTATATCGGAGCTATACGAAGACCTGGACCTATATGGACTATTCTCTTCCAGGGGAAAAACTTCTCAGAAGGAACTCATTGTGAGGATTTTTAGACAATTCCATTGATGGTACCGTTATATGGGGGATATACGCTATCGTGAACCTATATAGACAATTCTCTTACAGGTGGTAAGGTACCCACAAAGAACTCCTCGTGTAGCATTTCAGACAATTTCATTGAAAAATGTGCCTAAAATCATCAAAATACAGAATATCGGGGGTACCGTTATATGGAGGCCATACGATATTGTCGACCGATATTGCCCATCTTCGAACTTGACCTGCCAGCAGACAAAAGACTGATATGTGCAAAAATTTTGCTACCTATCTTAATTTGATTATGACTTATTTGTTTAGAGAATTACATCTAAAACCTTCAGAACATTTCAAATCGGTGGTATAGTTATTAGGCTTCACAATAAATAGGGGATCTGTGCCGAAGTGTTAATTTGTTCAAGTAGAGATTCTTCCTGTTGAGAATGTGAAATGTTAACTTACAGTAATTCTGTCAGACATTGTAAAAACATTAAATACTAATATAAGCTACGGTCAATCACAGTCTACCCGCAGGCTTCTAAAAAATTTATTTCAAATTCCTAACATCTACATGAGGTCAGAGGAAAAGTCCTTGTGTTCAATTCTATTTTCTTTTTACATATGTATGTATATCGATTGTAAAATTGTAAAAAAGTTCTCAATGCCACACATTCCTTTAGGCATGTACGCTCGTTGCATACATATGCTTTGCAAGAACATTAGTTTCTCGCCCTTTTTTTTTCTTTCTTTTCGAATCCAATCCAACATCACAGAATTCTTACAATTCACTGCGTTTGGATTGAAGTTATTTATGGGCCATTTATGACGAAGCTGTGACAAACAGAAGTGAAAATATTTCATTTTGAACAATTGAATTCTTGGACAAGGCAGAAATCTTATGTCAAGTCGGACATCAATCAGAGCTATTAATGTTTTTTTTTATTTTTTTTTGGTTTGTTTGAATTCAATATAACGGATTATGTTTAGAAACTTTTTATTCTAGGAAATGATGGATAACATATTGTAAGCAAGGGCTTTGGGGAAAAGGGAGTTTTTAACTTTTTGTGCCTTATATTGCTTACATATACTTAAGTAAACATTAAGTTTCGTCTCGTCTGAAAACTTTTAAGTTTTAAGTTAACAAACATTAATAATTCTTTTTTAAGCTGAACCCGTACTTTATGTGAGTTTTTGCAAAATTGTCGTACAAAGCATCATTTTAGGACGATATGATCGAAGACTAAATTATCCTTCATTAAAGTCATCAACGTAAAAAATCTCTATTTCCATTATATATTAATAAAAACTTTTTTTAAAGTTGCCTTGAACATATATTTTTTAATTTTTATAGTCTCATTTGATATGGCCAAAGGGTGACTCATCGAATTAACGGTTTTAAACCCTAGTCCTCTTGTACCAAATTCGTTTCAGGACATTTGAAACCGATCTAGCGATGTATGTCCGGAGAGAAAGGATCATCCGATTTTGCAAATCCTAATATTTGCATCAGCGCTAGGTCATATGAGAAAATGGAACATACCTCTTTATCAAGTACGTTCCCCACAAAGGGACAACATTTTGAAAAATTACAAATTTTATAAAAGTTGAAGCAAGTGTCCGATTGCCTTCAAATTCACACATCACAATATTTTTATTAACCCAAAGTCTGGTGTGACAATGGAGTATATCGGTCCGCTCCTTCTGGTACCTCCCCCACAAAGGGTCAAAATTTTAAATATCCATGAACGCGAAATTAACATGCGATTCCACTCACATCTCACTATTTCTATCACTACAAGATCAATTATAAAGATGGTAGAGATCGGACCATTCCTTCTGGTACCTCCCCCACAAAGGGTCAACGTTGTGGATAACCAAAACGATCATAAAACCATATTTCACACACCCCATTTTTTTCTATTAACGATATTAACATCCGATTCCATTCAGACTTGGTTTCAAGATTTTGGAAAACAAAACGCTCAGTGAAAGCGAACTCTCTCCAAAATTCAGACATACAAATATTTTTGCTAACGTAAGATCTCTTGTGAAGATTTTTTATATCTGCCAACCTCTTCTAGTACCTCACACAGAAAGGGTCAAAATTTCCAATAGTTATATCTGTCGTAAATTGCGAAACAAGTCGGCGATTATTTACAACCATCAGCCCGTGTGTCAGTCTGTTTGTTGAAATCACGATACAGTCCACATTATTTGACGTAGAGCTTCAAAATTAGGCAGAACAATTTGCACTGTGTCTAGGATGGTTGATATTAAAAATGAGATATATCGGTCCACGCTTTTGTATTGTCGCCATATAACGGTACCTCCCGCTATTCGTTATTTTGATAATTTTTGGCAGATTTTTTCACGGATTTGTCTAAGAACTGGTAGTGTTAGGTCATAATGGGCTCTAGCTCGGGTGGTGGAACATGATACCCATATAACGGTAACTTCCTTTATTCCGCATTTTAATAATTGTGCAATACTTTTCCACGGATTTGTCTAAAAAATTGTTATTTGTTGTTCGTAATGGGTTCCCGCTTAGATGGCAAAACGTTGAATATCTAGGTCCATGTTTTCCTATAGCGCACATTTAACGGTACCCACCGATATTCGGTATTTGGAAAATCCTAGTCACATTTACCCATGAAATTGTTTCAAATTTGCTATTTAAGAAGATTTGGAAGATGACAATCCTTGAAGTATAAAATTGTCTATAGAGTTTCCCGTTTTGGTATGGCCCCATATAACGGCCTCACTCACTTTATAGTTTTTTTGATAAGTTTAACTGCATTATCCAAACGGTCTTACTGGTATACAGGGTGAGATAAAAAAACTGCAACGAAGTCAAACGCCATAATTTTTACAATTTTTTTCAAATTTTATTGAACGAAAGAAAAAAATGTCGGAAATACCATCAAATTTTAAAATAAGTTTAGATTTGTTCGAATTGGTCACCTTTGGCACGAATTATGGCCCTCAAACGGCCAATGAAACCGTCACACGCTGCCCGAATGTTGCTCTGCGGTATTTTGGCCCATTCCCGGCGAAACGCTTGCTTGAAGTGGTATTTTTGGTATTTTTTAGTGCCAACCTTGCTTTCAATATACTCCAGACACAATAGTCCAACGCATTGGTATCCGGAAATTTTGGTGGCCATTAATTGCTTAAAATGTTGGGAGGAACATAATTTTGTAACCATTTTTGGGTGGCGCGTGCTAAGGCCTGTTGGAATGTCCAAGGTCTGCGGCCAAAATGTTTCGGAGACGGAGAAAACCAAATTCGGCAGTTTACCGCTTTTGGCCAAGCGAAGCAACTCTTTAGTTTTTTTGATTTTTTTTCTATTGCGGTGTAAGTTCTTGTCTTTTTGGAATTTCAATGGCCTTCCCTGAGCTAATTTTTTAATATTTGCCGAATGGATTATTTGCGATATGTTCAGCCCACGAGCCATTTTTCGGCCACTACGGCGCAGTTTTCGATCAAGCCGCTTCATTACTTTTCGAACCATTGCTGTTTTCTTCTGTCCACTTCCTTGACGTCGGTCTAGGTAACCAGTATCACGGTAACGAGCGATGGTACGAGACACAAGAGATTTATTCTGATTTAAATGCTGGAGTGCTCCAACGATAGTCATTTGTGGTTTTCCAGCCAAACATAAAGAAATCACACCATCACGCTTGAATTCTATCACGAATAACCTTTTTTTTCTGGAAAATTCTCACCAAAATGATTTTGTACGGTTATAAATGTCAATGGAATAATTTTAACAGCTGTCGGACGAGTGGCTTAGAAGTGACAGCAGTCTGAAGTTGGTTGCAGTTTTTTCATCTGACCCTGTATGTAGCTTAAGTGGAACATGCTTGAATTCAGATATCTTTATATAAAAATGTTTTCTTTAGAGGGTAAGTTCGGCCCGGACTACCTTAATGTTTTGCTACTTGTTTACATGTCGGGGAGGCGGAATTTAAAACCCTTAACTGTTATACTTACACTCAGCGACCCAGTGATCCAATAAACTAGGTGTGCACAAATATATTTGATAACAATGACATTTATTTGTGTAAAATTCAATTTCTTTAATCTAATAAAATATATAAACCCGTTTTGTTTTGTAACCACAGTTTGTAGAGTTTTGTGAACTTGTTTTTGTTGTCTTTTTTAGTGTTTTGTGAAATGTGGATGGTATTCTTGACTTAATCGACATTTTTGGCTGAGATTTAATATTTTTGTTTTGTAATTATGAATGGATGGAATTGTGAAAATGTGTGTTGCTCCCAACTTCGTTTTTCTTCGTCGTTTTTTTTTTGGCATGAAAATGGAATAATTTCAAGACTACAATAATAACAATATCGTCTAACCTAACGAAATACTTCTAAATGAGTACAAAACGTATCAAAAAAAGCTTAACAGTGATACTAGACATATTAAAGAAATTAAATTAACAGAGAAAAACATATTAAAACTAGATTTTAGATATAAATAAAAATATATTTTAACAAGTTTATTTGATTATTTTAAAAAGTTCAAAAGTTCCAAATCCAGTTTTGATTTTTAATTGCAATTGCCAAGAAATTCAAAAAAGTGGACTTGGAACTTTCGTTTTGGCGATATGTTTGCTGAGATTTATGCATTCCCGAATTTTACAAGCACGCAAATACTCCACAGGCACACGAAAATGTCACGTACACACAAACAAACAAACAAACAAACATTCATTCATTCACGGCATGTTTCGCAGGAGTGCTACACAAGCTAAGAAGACTAACAAAATAAATTTAATTTCAAATCCTAAGTTAGTTGTAAGAGTTTCAGTTTTCTCTGCTATTTTAAATTACATCACAATTAATTGTTGTTGTCGGCTCGGGCTCGCACAAAAAATTGCTCTTAACTAAAAGACAAATACATATTTTGGGTATACCTATACATACACATATGTACACATCTATACATAGGGGGGGCTGAAAAATGCCCAACTTATTTTTGTTTTACAGATTTATAAATAAATTTGTTTCGTTGTTGATTTCTTCTTTTTTACCTAGCATTAGACTAATCAATCTATTAACTATGAACTAGAATCGCCACTATTCGTCGTTAATATGAGCATTTCATTGTCCGCTGTTGTTGTTGCTGCTGCTTCTCTTGCCGAGTTTTGCATCTCCTCCCTACTCCCTCTACTACTGCTGCCAGCCTCATCTGTGCTGTCATTTGAATGGCTATTACTTGGCGTTGTCGCCTTGAGCAAGGCGTATGAATCGCGATGCATAAACCGATGCTGATGGTGGGCGATAAATGTACTGCTGCGTCGCAATGAACGTCGTCCCATTTCCAAAATCTCCAATGTCGGATCATGGGCAAACACATAATTCTGATAGGCACGCAGGAAGACATACATTATGGCAAATGCACCGCCGGCTATCATTAGATACGAGCCAATGGGTATAACAGTCGGCGCGAACACCGTGGCCAAATAAATCCAACGGCGGATAGGTGGTGTCAAATCGGAGATGCCCTCCTCCAGCCACATGACGGGAAACATAAAACTACGAAAATCTTTAACGGGAAAAATGTGTTTGGCCTGGGTCACACGCAGATTCAATTGAATGCGAACTTTACCCTCCAGGGGGACACCGAGTTTCTAAAAGAAAAAAAAATATTTTTCGATACAAATTATAAAATAAAAATTGCATTCTTTTCTTACCGGTTGTATTTTAAAATAGGTTTCATGTTCTGCTGGATTTGGTGATAAACCCTCGACCGTTTCCAACAGCTGTGGATCGGCCTGATAAAAATGTGGATTCGATAGGTAGACGGGGGCACCATACTGGCAAGGACTGATATTTTGTAGACCCTTCAATGCACTATAGTCTTTGGTATCATAACATTTATTCTCGGGATTCTTCTCTGCATCACCGTAGCTGGTTTCGGGCAGCTTGTACAAGTCAGCATTTAAACCTAAGGATTACAATTTTATATTTTGAGATATAATATTATATATATTTGAGATATATTTCGCAAATTTTTATATAGAACCTTGTCGGTGTAAACACAGATTTCAAGGAATTTTTTAAACTATAGGTTTTTATCAACCGACATTTATGATAATTTTCTGTGGTATATTAATTCGCTGTAATGTCTGTAATTATTCTAAAATCGAGAACGGTAGATAGAGCTGCTCGTCTGGATTGCAAAATTTGAGAAGCGAAAAAGCACCTAAGTTCGGCCGGGCCGAACTTTTATACCCTCCACCATTTGGAAGGAACTTGAAAATTTTCAAAAAAAAAAAAAAAAAAAATCCGTCGAAATATACCGCACCAATAAAAACCTTAATACGAAGACGTGGTGATGGATAAGTAATTTTCTGCCTATTTCGAACTTCAAATACGAAATTTGAAACAATTCCGTTGAATAATGTCTCTAATACCATCAAAATACTGAATAACATGAACCTGTATAGACAATTTTCCGCCATAGTTTGTAGCACCCATTACGAACTTCAAATACGAAATTTGATGCAATTCCGGTGAATAATGTTGTGAAAATCCTGGAAATACCGAATATCTCGGTTTAGCGTAGGCGATTGCTACACTAAAACGTAGACCTATATAGACAATTCTCTTCCAGGATGTAAAGTACTCAGAAGGAACTCCTTGTGCGGATTTTAAGTCGACCCATTTAAAAATGTGGCTAAAATCATAAAAATACTCAATGTCGGGGGCACCATTTTATGGGGGCTATACGACATCGTGGACGTATATAGACTATTCTCTTCCAGAGGGTAAAGTACTCAGAAAGAACTCCTTGTGTAGATTTTCAGACAATTCCATTGAAAAATGTGCCAGAAATTAACAAAATACCGAATATCGGGGGTACCGCTATATGGGGGTCATTCGATATCATGGACCGATATAGCCCATCTTCGAACTTAACCTGCCTGCACAAATGACTGATCTGTGCAAAATTTTAGCTTCCTATATTAATTTGTTTTGACTCTAGCGTGATTACAACAGACGGACGGACAGGGCTTAATCGTCTTAGAATCTTACGCTGATCAAGATGAGTTTCGATGAGTTAAAAACGGAATGACGAACTTAATATACCCTTCATCTGTATATGGTGAAGGGTATAGAAATAATTTATGGTTGGATTTTGGCCTAAAACTCCTCACCGAATAAAAAAACAATCAAATACGGTGAGTTATTAATGACTAAGGTACGAATTCGGGCCAGTTTCACTCTCTACCCGAATTTGAGAGAGAGAGAGAGAGTACGCCTGCAAGCGAAAAAAAGTAATCGATGTAATTGTATGCTACTCGAATAAGAGTATGTTTTGCTTGTCTTCGAATGGAAACAAAAAAATCGCTAAAAATGGAGCCGATTCCACTCTTGCTGAGTACCTTTGTCATATTGTTGTTGTATTTTCGTAGATATACATATTTTCTGAACTCATAAACAAATACAAATACCACCTTGCCTCTAGTTCATGTTTTCCACTCGATTCAACCTTTATATTAAACTCTTACTCAATTTTAAACTATTTGACTCCCACTCGAATTCTTAAATGGGAGCACACATGAGAGTAAAATAAATGAAACCTGAGCTATGTTTAAGAGTAATTTCACCGGTTTGCCATATGTCATCAGTATTGGATGGGGGGACCCAAAGTCTACGAACAAGCTAAATATATGTTGAAATATTGGTAAAATCTGCGGACATCTTTCTAGTGATATTCACTAAGCCATAACTCTAATAAATGTTGACGAGATGATTGAATTCTAGCTGGGTCCTTTGGAATATCGTCAACGCGATAATCAACCATTGATCAGTGGAGCTCAAATCCAATGTAAAGCAGTGAACAGTACATTGAGACTAAAATATTAAAATATTCTTTAGAATCATTCTTATCTTAATTTTAGACTGTTCTTCAAAAATTCATGATCATAGCTTAGAACATGTTTTGAATAAAATTATTCAAATGTCCTAGATTATATATCATGCACTTAAAGAATATTCTTACAAAATTCGTAATTATAGCACTCAAAGGGCTTCAAAAATATTTTCAAACATCCACGATTTTATCACTAATGGCCATTGAAAAATATTCCTTAAAAACTACAATTACAGCAGTGCCATTCTTCTAAATTAGTTAGCTGAAAACCACGGTCTTAGCCCTAAAAATCCTTTATAAAAATTACTCATAAATTTGCATCTATAGTTCGGAACATGCTTTACCACTCGTTTATATGGCTCAAAATTAAAAAAAGAATAAATTTCGAAAATTTTTATTTTATTTACGATTATATATTTAAAAAAATGTTCCTCAAAAGTGTCTATCAAAAATCGTTATTTTAACGGAATCTCTTCAAATTTCGAAAAAAACAAAGATACCCATATACTGTGAATTGTGCTGCTGGTCTGGCACACTTTTTTTTATCATACATAAGGAATTTCTGCCTTAACTCGTTACTCGTCAAAAATTGTATAACTTTTATAAAAATGAGAATTTTTATAATCTGCAAGATGTGCTGAATTGTGAAATGATAGTTCCATTTTTACAGAGATTATAACGATTTTTAAAAAAATGCTGTTATTTTTCAAAATTGACATGTTTCAAAGATATGTTGAAAAAACTGCAATTCTGCCATACTTTCAAAAATATCGTTTTTTTTCCAGAATTATTTCAATAACAACACATTTAATATCCCAAAAAATATTAAAAAATATAATTTTTCAAGTCCTGGATAGAAATTAACAATGCCGGTGATTGTAGCCTTAAGAGTTTAAAAAAAAAACATTTTTAAATTAAAAATCAAAACCTTTGCCCTACTTTTAAATGTTCAACACTTACCATCCTTTTCTACTGACTTCTCATATTTCAACGGTATGACACGACACAAATCCTTATCGTAGACATAAACCATATTCGATTTTGTAAGATCACGAGGCGGGAAAAATGAACCCTCTGAACCGGTGATGCTTGTGCAGGGCTGCTCATCCCATTGAGGGAAATGATCGATGCCATTTAGCCGATCAATATAGCCAAAATCTTCCATACCCAAATGACCAGTCTTAATGGAAGAGACCTCTGACAAGGTGCCATTGCGCTGCAATATGTTATTGAAAACAATAAAATTATTATAAATTTACAAATATATTTTTAGATACTATCTTGGTTTATACTTACCGCAATTAGCAAACCCATTCGTTCTCCCGGCCTCAAATGTTTCGGATAGAATTTGTGCGCCAGCGTCACCAATGGATCATCGTAGCCGAACACCAGTTGTTCGGCAGTTACGTTAATAAATGGTTTAAATTTCGCTGCTGTCAATATGACAGATATGGTTTTGGACAGTACATAGCCCAATTTGGGACTTAAGCTGGTTAATGTCTGAAAATGGGGAATCGGATCGTTATATTTTATTAAATAAAAATAACTTATGGCAAAATAACAGAGACAACGACGTCTTTCTTTCTCACTCTCTTCTTTTAAAGACTATCTGACTGACAGAGAATCAACGCCCAGGCGAAAAAGCTAAAGCTAGAAACGAGGGCCAGTCTTGGTGCGTAGGGATGTGGTAAGGCTGTTTTTTTTTGGAAATTCGTCCTAAATGGATGCTGAAAGCACTAACATGTACATAAAATTGAATACTTTGTATTGAACAAAAGAGATTAGTTAGAATTCAGAAATACAGGGAGTCACGGATGGAGTGCAGGCTAGACGTACCAAAGGGTTTTTGGAAATTCGAACTTTAAGGTTAAGTAAAGTGTACCATTTGCTATTATGTGAACGGATACAGCTAATAACATTTGATATGAGAATCAAGGTTGGAATATAAGATTGATATATCAAAAGGTGTTCTGGTACTAAATTTGAAACGGTTTGGTTTCGGGTAAACAGATGAAGCTCGACTTTTGAATTTTTTTATTGGGGTCCCCGTAAGTGTTAGGTTTTGTGATAAAGAGGTCGTTTTAAAAAATTGCACTAAAAGTACTAAATAGTATTATATTTGTACCATTTTTTTTGTATTGGGTGAATAGTTATGTACTAGGGTCGCTGTTTATGTGTAGCTTGGACGTAGTTTCGGAAAAGTACTAAATTGTACTATATTTGGTATTGGGTGTAGGGATATGGCTGGAATTCTTAAATTTGATATTGGATATTGGAGAATTGATGTACCAAAGGATTTTCGGAAGTTTGAACTTTAAGGTTACGAAAAGTTCTAAAATACTACAAAACTTCTAAAATGGTACCATTTGGTATTATGTCAACGGATGGAGCTAAAAACTTTGGTATGGGAATCAAGGTTGGAAGACAAATTTTATATATGGAGGTAAATTTGGAAATGTGTACAAATCTTGCAAATTGTACTAAATAGTACGAAATTTGGAACAGTTTGGTTTAGGGTGAACGGTTGAAGCTGAAATTTTGAAATTTTATATTGAAGTTTCTGTTGTTGGTAGGTTTGTGATAAAGAGGTGGTTTTGAAAAAGAGAACGAACAGTACTAAATGGTACTATATTTGGTACAATTTGGCATTGGGTGAACAGATAGTGCTTAAAATTCGAAATTTGGTATAAGGGTCGCTGTTCATGTTTAGCCTGGACATATGGAGGTGGTTTCGGAAATATGTACTATAATTTTACGAAAAGTTCAGAATGGTATTATATTTGGTATTGGGTGAAGGGATAAAACTAAAATTCTAAAGTTTAGAGTACTGGTGGTGCATGTGTATGAGATTTGGCGTTGGTTTGAAAAGTACGAAAAGTACTAAATGGTACTAAATTTGGTATTGGGTGAAGGGATAGAGCTGAAATCCAGAACTTTGATACCGAGATCTCCTTTGGTATCTATAAAGGTATGGAGGTGTTTTTGGAAATATTTACTATAAATGTACGAAAAGCACAAAGTGGTACCAAATTTGGTACGGGTTAAGGAATAGAGTTGGAATCCCGAAATTGTATATTGAGGTCTCTGTTGGTATCTGGATTTTATAATTGTTCGAAAAGTATTAAATATTACTAAATTAAATTTTGGGTGAAGAAATAGGGCTGAAGTGGTGAAGTGAAGTGAAGATATCGAAGTGGTTTTGGAAATGTGTAGTAAAATTGTTCGAAATGTACTAATTGTACTAATCGGGTGTTGGGTGAAGGGATAGGGCTGGAATCCACAAATTTGATATTGAACTTTATTTTGATATCTGAAATTGAGAGTGGTTTTGGAAATGTGTACTACAAATGCACTAAAAATACTAAATAGTACTATATTTTGTGTAATTTGGTATTGAGTGAACAGATAGTGCTTGAAATCTGAAATTTGGTATTAGGGTCGCCGTTTATGTGTGGCCGGTACATCCTATGTACTTTTAGAAATGTCTATAATTATACGGAAAGTTCTTATTGATACTAAATTTGGTTTTGGTTGAAGAGGATGATATAAATTTCTAAAATGTCATATTAAGATAACTGAAATGTTAAGTTAATTTTGGTACTGGATGAAGGGATAGAGCTGAAATTGTGAAAAATTACATTTCGATGACTGTTGGTATTGGGTGAAGGAATAGATCTGAAATCCTGGCACTTGCTAGCATATGTATAAATATCACCTTGAGTTTTACATGGAATCAGAGTATATACCCTTTCAAGGTGTTACAGACAGAAAGCAATCAAAGGGAAATGAAGATAAAATATTCATTGTTATTCCGCACGAAAACTTTTCAGTATGGAATAGTTTTCACTTATTCGATAAATTTTTGTTCAGTTTATTTACACAGTAGTATCATATATCCTATATTTAAATATATTCTTAATATAAAAATTGTCAAAAATTCTTTCATATACATGTCGGCAATCACCCTTCGTTTATTTCATGAACGATTCATTCAATCGAAAATTCCAGGTAATTAAAAGATGCTATTAAATTGATGACTAGCGATCAATCCAAAAAACTACAGCAACAACAACAACTATGACACTCTAAGGTCATTGAAGATTCATAATCGTTTTTTGAAAGTGTGCTAATAATTTATGTCCCATTAATAAACCGCTCAAATGGCAACTAAATAAATACATCACCGAAGGCAGCCTTGTTGCCTGTCAAAATGCTGTCAACAGCCAATGGCGGTGATGATGCTGTCGTTGATGATGAAGATGATGATAAATACGAGACAACTACGCCTATTTTACGATTCAATGGCCCTTCAAGTCAACTCGTCAGAGACGAGACAAATACGATGGGTGGGTGTGTTAATCCGTCATTTAGTTAGGTTAGGTAACTCAGATGTTCGTACTCACCAATAGAGGTATGTTAGGTGTGACAATTGGTGTATTCTTGTCAATACTTAGTTCAGGAACAAATTCTAAGATTTTTTTGTGCTGATATGACACTGTGAAATTGTCGTGAAACTTAACGTTCACCTTTTGCATGTCTTCCCTGAAAACAGAAAAAAATAAAGGTTAACAATATTGAGATCTTCAATGTAACTAAAAAAATATTTATAATGTGATTAAAAAAACAACAACACCTTAATGTATATGATGTGTTGATAACAATGTCAGTTTGTGACATGTCGGCATGTATGTTGCCCTTTAAGATGCTATATTTAGTTAGTGCAATAATAAAACGACGCAGGCCAAAAATCGCTTAAATTAAAAGAGATACACTTGAGATGGAAATGGTCGAAGTTGAATGTAAGCTACCACTTTAAATTGTGAGGATGGCTAATTTTTAATATCATATTATTCCCAAACATAATTGGAATTAAGGAGAAGGGTATAGTCTTAGGGTTGAATTTTGAAATTCATTTATATAAAAAAGCTATTTTAGTGTTAAAGACAATATCTATATTTAAACCAGTAAAGAAAGTCCTAAAGTCGAGCGGGGCCGACTTTATGATACCCTACACCACTTTGGTAATTTAGTAGAGTTCCACATAACAATTAAAAGTTTTTATGGGAGAATTCAATCATACACGCTATGATTATAATTATAATTTAAAGTTCAAAAGACTAAATATGCCGAAGCATTTGTATCTTTTAAATTCGGATTTATATTGCCCATTTGGTGCACAATAAATTTGTAGTCGGATAAAATTATATATGGGAGCTATATCCAAATCTGAACCGATCTCGATAAAATTTGGCAAAGATATTTCTGAGCTGTATTTGATATATTTCCCTGAATGTCGTTGTTACGGAGTGCATATTACGGCTGTAGGTAACAAATACAACAAATCGGTTGAACAATATATATGGGAGCTATAGCTATATCTGAACCGATCTTCACCAAATTTGACATACTAGCTTCTAGACTCAATTCGGTTGTATGTGCCAAATTCCATCTCATTTGGACAAATATTAGTTTGGTGCACAATAAAAGGTAAGGACGAAGTTATATATGGGAGCTATAGCCAAATTTGAACCGATCTCGATAAAATTTAGCAAAGGTATTTCTGAGCTGTATTTGATATATTTCCCCAAATATTGTTGTTACAGAGTGCATAACACGGCTGCGGAGGAAAGAAATAACAATTCGGATGAACAATATATATAGCTATATCTGAACTGATTTCGATCAAATTTGGCATACTTATTTGCGGGCCTAATTCCATACTATTCGGGCTGATATTACACGTTTGGTGCACAATAAAATAAAAAAAAAAAATAAAAAATATTGACCAATTATCTTCAATTTCAATAGGGTTCGCCCTTGAGCCAAACAAATGATTTGTGCAAAATTTCATCTGGATCGGGTAATAAATGCGAACTTTACTTTGTTTATAAAAATACATGGACAGACGGACGGACATGCATAAATCGACTCAGAATGTGATTCTATGCAGGTCATCAAAAGGAACTATAGGTCTATCTCGTTTCCTTTTGCCTGTTACAAACAAATGCACAAAGACAATTTTGGTACCATTTGGAATTATGTGAATGGATAGTGTTCGATAGTAGTCGAAAAAACTGTACTAAATGGTACTGAATTTGGAGCCATTCAATTTTGGGTGAACGGAATAAGCTGGTAATTTGTAATGTTGGTATTGCAGTCCCTCTTGGTGGTAGGTTTGTGCTTAAGAGGTGGTTTTAGAAATGTGTACTACAAGTGTACACAAACTATTAAATAGTACTGTATTTGGTACAATTTAGTGTAGGTTGAACAGATGGTGCTTAAAATCTCAAATTTAACATTAAGGTTGATGTTCATGTTTAGCCTGGACATATCGAGGTAGTTTTGGAAATGTGTAGCATAATTGTACGAAAAGTACAGAAAGGTACTACGTTTGGTATTGGGTAAAGAGATAGAAATAACGTTCAGAAATTCGATATTGAGGTCTCTGTTGGAATCTGAAATTGAAATATGATGGTAGTTTTGGAAATGTGTACAATAATCATACGAAAAGTACTAAGTGGTACTAAATTTGGTATTAAGCGAAGGGATAAAAGTAAAATCCTGATATTTTATATAGATGTTACTGTTGGTGTCCGTGGTTGAGGTATGGAGATGGTTTTGAAAACGTGTACCAGAATTGTACGAAAAGTACAAAGTGGTACTAAATTAGGTATTTGTGGTGGTATAGGGCTGGAATCCTAGATTTTGATACTAAGGTCTCTGTTGGTATTTAGAATTGATATATGGGGGTGGTTTTGGAAATGTGTACTATAATTGTACAAAGAGTACTAAACAGTACTAAAAAGTACTAAGTGGTGCTTAATTTGATATTTGGTGATGGTATAGTGCTGGAATCCTCGAATTTGATATTGAGGACTAGTATCTGCATATCTTGAGGAGTTAGTATCTGCATTTGAGACATGGAGGTTGTTATGAAAATGTGTGCTATACTTGTACGAAAAGTATTAAATAGCACCAAGTTTGGTATTGGTTGAAGGAATAGAGCTGTAATACCGAAATTTGGCATTGAAGCCACTGTTGGCGTCTGTGATTAAGACATGGAGGTGGTTTTGGAAATGTATACTATAATTGCACGAAAAATACTGAATTGTACTATATTTGGTATTGGGTGAAGAAATTATTCTTTCCGTGAAAGTCTGAAAGTTACCCTTGGATCCCCCTCAGGAACTCCTTTAGTACATACGCAACTTTGGGACCCTCTTGATTTTTTAAGCCTTTGAAGTGTCCATAACTATACCGTATCTGAATCAACTTCTAAGTCTTTCTTGTCTTAAAAAAACATTAAAGTGCTCGTATCTCTTGGCCTGTAAGATACCCTTGGAGATGCGCGAAATTCTTTAGTCCTCTGTGACTTAGCAAGCCCTTAAAATTCCGTAATTCATGGTTCGCTCTTAAATTTACACGTCAGGAACCTATTTGGGTGTGCGTAATTTTTGGGTCCGTTGGGAATTAACCCAATGAAACTCCATCGAAGTGCCCGTTAAGAAGTTGAACTTTTTTAGGACTTCTGCCAAGAACCGGAGTTGTCACGCACCACAAATTTTAATGCCAAGAAAAGAATAGCATTATGTTTTGGCTGAAAGATACCTTAGAGTTTTTCATTCCCATCCCATGTGAACTTTTGAACCTTTCCGTTATTTTTATTCCATATTTTGAAATAATCAGTTTTTGATGCAACAAAGTGTCCGCCCGATAGAGTTGGGTCTAAATTTAGATCAAGTTCCGACAACGGCTATATCGGCCAACTTTTTCGTATAGCCACCATACAACGGTACCCCTTCATTTTAAGCATTTCAACGACTTTCGGCACAATTTTCAACGGAATTGTCTTGCAAAAAAACAGTTCATATAAGTCCACATTAAGGTATAACCCCAATATAAAGGTACAAACCATAATCGGTATTCTGATGAATGAAATTTTCTCGGTCTCCTCCAAATCATAAGAGTATCAGAAATCAGCTATTCCAAGTACCTTATTTGTGTGAAGACACTACCATCATTTTTTTTTTGTTATAAAAAGCTGTGACAGGCTTTGACTGGCCCGAGCTTGCTCCCTCGATCAAAGGGAACATGTGTCATAACAGCTTCTCAAGCAATGTTAATTTCCCTTCCTAAGATTATCAATATCCTTTATTTTTCTTTATCGTTATTGACGATGAAGATATCACTACTGGAAAAATTAGGACGGTCTTAAAGACTCCCAGTGTAAAAACCCAAGGAATATACGCTGTCACTTACTCTCCCATATTCATTCATTATTATTATAAAATAATATTTTTCAATTTTTATTTGGATGAGTTACAAACGTAATAATAAACATAATATACCCTCCTTCATTTAATAGATCACAGAGGTTACAAAAAACCCACAAAAGTACGTCAATGCGTACGAATGTCAAGTTCATCTGAACACAAAAAAAAAATGAAATAAATTAAAAAAAACAGATTTTAAATCCATTACGTATCCAGGTGTGTTAATGTGTAAATTATCTCAACTCTTGTCTGGTGGCACAAAAAGCAGGCCGAGATGGAATTTAAATACTTTCGTTTTTATTTGAAACAAGTCTTTTTTTGTGAAAAAGCCGGCAATTCAAGTGCCTTTTTTTGCTGGTGGTCTTCGGAATACATTTACATTTGTTGATGCTGGGTTACGTTATGGTAAATTATGAATGAACCTTGACTTAATTGATAAAAAGATTTTAAATAAAATATAATGTAATTGTTTACGTTATTATTTTAATAAATAAAATGTGTTGTGATTCAAGTGCAGTATACTTTATTAGCTTCCTTGAATTGTTGTCCCGCATTATTATCAAGCGTCAAAGAGAGTTTGTGAAAATAAATAAATAAATACATGAAAAAATTCCTCTTAAGGAACAACGATTTTTCTAATAGGGAATACCGAGGTTTTGGAAAGAGCCACCAATTCTTAACAGTTCCCTTGTTTTTTTTTTTTGTGGAGTATTCTCGCCGAAATTTTTAAATTTCTTTTTCAAGATCATAAGCTCAATAGAAGGGGAACAAATGAATTAAATTAAATTAAAACCAGTAAAGAAAGCCCTAAAGTCGGGCGGGGCTGATTTTATGATACCCTACACCACTTTGCTAATTTAGTTGAGCTCCACTTAATAATTAAAAGTTTTTATTGGAGAATTCAATCATATACGCTGTGATTATAATTATAATTTAAAATTCAAGGGACTAAATTTGCCGAAGCATTTGTATCTTTTAAATTCTGGCTTGTATTGCCCATTTGGTGCGAAATTAATTTGAAATCGGATAAAAATATATATGGGAACTATATCCAAATCTGAACCGATCAAGATTAAATTTGGCAAAGATATTTCGGAGCTGTATTTGATATATTTCCCTGAATATCGTTGTTACGGAGTGCATATTACGGCTGTAGGTAACAAATACAACAAATCGGATGAACAATATATATGGGAGCTATAACTATATCTGAACCGATCTTCACCAAATTTGGCATACTACCTTCTAGACTGAATTCGGTCGTATGTG